CTTATCAGGAGAAAGTACAAGAGAGGTAGGGTCATAAAAAAGCAGTGCTTTTTTGGGGCAGTGAGCAAGGGACCAATAAATGTTTCGTCGTCCCAGTGGAGCGACAAGATGCTGCTACCCTTCTGCCACTGATCAGGCAGTATGTTGTTCTAGGAACAGCTATAATGCCTGATCAGTGGGCTGCATACAGTACCATCAAGGACATGCCAGAGGGGTGCCAGCATGAGACTGTCATCTAGTCTCCACTTTATTAATCCTGAGACCGGTGCTTAAACAAACAGCATTGACTCTATGGCAGAAAATCAAGGAGGGCCATAAGACACGGTATGGGACGGCAACGGCCTTATTGAATCGGTATATGGACGAATTCGTATGGGAAAAAGTGTATGAGGGCAATGCGCTGTGCCACCTCTCAGCTCAAATAGCGGAACACTATCCACCGCCCAGAAGTTACTTTTGAAAGTGCGGGCTTATTTATCGGCTCTTGATCGGTCTGCCTTATGACCGTCCAATCTTTGGAAAGTATCTCATATAAGAGGCAGTGATACAGCTTTTCTTCCAATTTTTCCGACTTGAGGGAGAAGCGAATTATGAGTATAAATGTAACATCAGTGTAAATGCTCGAATACACGCAAAACTCTCTTTTTTACTCCTGAAGGGAACAAACCACCAACCTTCACCCAAGGTGCTGCATCTCCTACCATTGTACCTCACACTACTTGGTTCAATTACGGCTCCACAAACTGTTCTACGCTCCGTCGCCTCGTTTGCCTCATACTGCTGTTCCACGTTACATAATAACCTATTGCTACAAAAGGTCAAACCCGCTCATAATGTCTAAAAATTGTTTATGAATCTGCAATTGCACAATGCATATTTCAGCCATTATAAAGGGAATTATTAACCCTTAGCCGAGGTTGACACGACTGACACAAGAGCTCCCAATAATCTACCGTGTACTGCGTTTTATTATCAGTCGGCCCTACCTATCTTTTCTCAACTTGGCGCTATTGATTAGCAAAACTAACATCACTGCATCAGATGTATCTAGTTTGAGCAGCTGCAAAATTTATTCAGAATTTGTAAACACCGTCATCTACTTGATCACACTGGTTGGCTTGAAGCTCAAATTCAAGCTATACTGTACAGGAAATTTCTCCTGTTTGTTGTCAATTGAGAATTGAAACAAAACATATTTCACGCAACAGGTAAATGAAAATAACATCTATTGATATTAGGGTGCATTTTTGTCCTAACTAGCTTCGCAAACCATTACTCTCCACTGAACACGGACACAGTTTCCGGACCTAAAATCAATTTTTTATTGTTGCTAGAAATAAGGCACGAGTACCAATATATGTTTGTAAATAAGTTCATTTTCGATAGCCATCAACAGTAGAAACAAAATTAAAGTCCCTTTAAACTATTTTGTACCTTTCAAATAACAAACATTCGTGAATTAAAATTGTTTTCAAAAAGAAAAAGAAAAATAAAAGTTAATGTTTCATCCAAGTCAAATTCAAATTTGTTTTCTACTCTGTCATCTTTGTTTTTCCAGTTTTTCTACAATACGATAAAGCAGAACAGAAAAATTTGGACTTCGAAAAGGAACGTTTAGTGAATTCACTAGTTTCAAAATACTTTGCTCAGAAATCCCCTACCTTCAAAATGTTTGCTGATACACATTTCCTCTTCTTTCCTTCAATTCCTCCGCCTCACACTTTTTCTTGATACTTTAAGTAATCCGACAGAAGAGTAAACCTGTTACCCTTTACTGTATGAATTTTACTGGAAAACTGATGACCTCACCTCCTCTGGTCTCATCAACTGATTTTACTCCCACTAATATTTCCCTCTAGAAAGAAAACTGAAACCGATCGAACAGCATCAAATTTCTGTGGCCCTATCTGTAACTTCCATTCCGGCGCTTGAAACTGCTAACGTCTCAAACTGGATACGGACACGATTTAATTAGTTACAACGGAAACAAGCTAACAAACAGTCCACATATGTAAAACAAGATAAAACTACAACAAGGAGGAAATTCCACTTTAACAAATTTATGGTTTTTGATTAAAAAACGGCGCGAAGTTAAACAGTAAATCTTACTACATTACTGAACGCAGTGACAATCACTATTTATTTCACGCTCAAAATAAGCGAAAAAAAGAGAAGCCACCATTCTTCCGTTCTAGTATATCTTTTACATCTTAATAACAACAAAGAGGCGTATCAAAGACAAATAATCAGTAGCAAACACCCACTGAAAAAAATGTTTAAGTTTATTTTTGGGTACATACACTTTTCTCCATTCTTATAACCGTCTTCGAAAAATCGCATTGTGAAGAGTTATTAAAGAGTAAAATATATCAATCATCAAACCGAAAATTTCTGCGTTCCGTTACACTAACTATTGGAAAAAATGATATTTTGTCTAATTTCTTCTTTTTGAAAAGCATTGAGAACTGCTAGTGGATGATGAATAGATAAGAAACTGCCAAAACTGACTTGTGATGATATCTGATAGACAACAGTCCGAGTAAGCCAGCGAAGAACATTCATTATAAAAAAATTGACGAAAATTTGGAACGAGAACTACTCTAATCCATCTTTACAGAGCCGGTTTTTTTAGACTCCAGGTATTCAATGTACTGAGGACTGTCCCTGAACACTCGAATCTTCCTTTGGATCGATTTTGGCGTATCTCTATAAATGTTTTTTACGTCCTTGGCCATTGCCTAAAAATGATGAAGATGAGCTATGTCATGAGGACTTTTTCTAAAAGTTCAGCTGTAAAACAACTAGAACTGAGGACTATTAAAAAAATACAAAGTAACTGCGAAGAAAACCCTTTCAAAAGGCTCTAACACTAATTTACTCTGATAACTGAAAGACGATAAAGAAGTCTCGTTATACAGTCTCACAATATTAAAATTAAACTTTAAATGAGCTTTCTCAACAATTCCTAAAATACTGACAATCATTTTTTTTACCTTCCCAAGGTCCCACTATCGTTTCACTCATAAATATTCATTTCAACATTTCGGTTTGAAAAAATTATTTGAGTTGTTAGTGATAACTGCCACTCAACATAATTTTCACTCGAATTGAAGTCACTGACTAAAAACGATTATGTTAAGAGAAACCACGAACGGAAAGGAAATCACCTCGTAATTTTCCCCGTGCGTTTCTATCATGTGTGCACAAAATTGAATATCTTCAGGCAAAAGTCGATAAACACGTTTATGCTGCGGCGCAGAATAACTAAAGTCGAATTTCTTAAGTTTGAATGGTTCTCTTCTAGGTGAATTTATAGAATGAGACGCAGCGCTAGGATTCGTTGCACCATCCACCTTCTGACCATCTGCTCCCTGTGCAGGTTTCATCTGTAGCGGCAATAGTTTAGACTTTTTATTTGTGTTTCTACAAGACCAAAGAATTCCAAAAAAGAGCAATATCTAAAACGCACAGATAAAGACAGTACTGCTTTCTAACATAAAATGCTAAAAAAAGTTTTTTTGCAACTTTTCAAATCCTGACGGCGTTGCAAATAACTGTGTACTTTCAAGAGGCTACACACTCAAAGGTGGGTAGGTGGGGTTTTACGAAAGTTCTGTGTTTCAGCAGAGAACCACTCATGTGGCAATTTGGAGTGATAAATTTGTCCATTTCATGGCTGCAGACAATTTTTCAGATATTTCGAAACTACCTGTTTAACCATATTCCAGATGTTTACGTAACATTAAGTGACACATAAAATTAAAAAATATCGTTAAAGCAAGATGCAATGCTATTAGAAACTTTAGAAAAATTTTGCCAGGTTAGCTTGATTTTGTCTTTCCAAAGAAACCGCAGCAATAATGGATACAGATAAAACGTTAGTAGAAATATAGCATAATGATATCGGGCCGAAAAGGCAGCGTTTGTAAACGCTTTAAGGTTGATCCCTTAAAAACAGCAGCGAAAAACGGACTTTTTTCTAAAACTGCACGATATTAACTAGCTATGATTAGATGCCTCACTCAAGAAGTGAGAACAAGTGTGGAAAAAACTCATCACTGAAAGTTAATGACTAGGATTTCTGCTAAATTCGGTCGGCTAGCTGGGTTCAGTTGTAAGTTGGCAAAACTGAAGATTTTACATTCGCTGCTTATCAGCAATTTTCAAGCGCAGCACTTCGCTGCTTTCCTTTCTTCTTTGCACGAAACAGTTGCCCTGAACCTTCCTGAAAGCTCATTTCTCGTAGAGCTTTCTTCGTGACATTATTTAAATGTCAACATTTCTCCACATACTTGAAAAATGATGCGAAAAGTTAGTTTTGGAACAAAGCATGAACCTATTATTCTGTTTTTGAAAAGGCCATACTAAGTACAATTTTCTTCACGATAAATAACCAACGATTCTCATCTAAAGCCACAATTTGCCCATGAATAACTAAAAAAGACTGTATTATTCTTTTAAAAAACGGTATTTTATGAAAAGTATGATAATGTTATATTCTTCTCTTCCTTTGCTTAACAAAATCACTTCATAAAATACAGTGATCATCAACCCCACAAATTTCCTATCTCAGAACCTATAGAACAGAAAAACCTGTGCAAATGTATGCTTTGAAGACAAGCCAGCCACTATTTTACAACCTCTCATAAACTTCATACTCTTACCGATCTGGGTACTTACATTAAAAAAACGTCTTAATGGTACACTTTCCCAAAATAAAATACTGGTCCTCTCAATAATTATAAAAACTTACAAATTCTTAAATATAGCAAGTTGCGCCTCTAACACAATGCATGACTGCTTAAAAAGTTTCACACTCCAGAAATGTGCAGTGCGATCCAAAAAAAAAAGTTTTCTAGAAACAATTATTTGCGCTTATTAAAAATAAAGTTCAAACTATCTACTAAACTACCGAATTTAAAGAAAATACATTGGTATCGGTCAGTGGGGGTGCAAGATCACTGTGTTGCTCGTTTGATTTCATTATATTCTTCAACATCTGTGCAGAACCTGACTCGTCGCTAGCAAGCGAGTTTGTTTCTAAAAGGAACTTGGTGCGGAAGAAAAAAGTAAAGAAAATTAAAAAATAAGGCTTAAAATACCGCATCTTTTAGCTCTTGCATTAAATCACGCAAGCAACACAAATAAAAGCCAAACCACTAACCTGTTCCGTTCACTAGCAACGACGACACTTCCAACTTTGGCTGCGTCATTGGCGTCACGTTCTGAACTTCGCCCACATGTTCTTCTTTGTGCAGTTCGAGGCCTTGTTTGACTATATCTGATCCAGCAGCACACTCCTTGCTGTCCGTTTCAGAAACCTCTCCTGTTGTAGTTATTATATCGGTACCCTTTTTATCATTCGCTTCAGAAGAACGTTCTTTTTCATTTAATCCAGTTAGATGTTCCGTTCCAGCCAATACGACACTCTCTACATGCTGTTTCCCATGCGATTCACGAACGTCCTCATTCCTGTTCTGTTCTGCGGTGCGTCCCCTTCCATTTGATTCGGGCTCATTATTCTTTGTTTTTGAAATCTTTGCCTCATTCTCCTGCAACTAAAGCTGCTTCTTAACTAATTTAGTGATATTGAAAGTGAATCAATTAGGGCATAAAAACGCTGAGATAAACTGATTAAAACAGCACTGCAAGGCACGGGTAACAAAATCTATCACGTAAAAAACTTGACGTCGAGAAACAAAAGTTTGAAAGATGTATTAGCTAAAACTGAAATGGATTAAACTTTATCAAATACCCACGCAACAATAGTAAAATTCTGTAAGCCAATGTTGTAAACAACAAAAGTCAAACGTAAAAGAACATCCAAAAAAGATAAGGTGGCATTAATAAAAAAGAAATCATTAATTTAAAACATGTTAGCCACTAAATCTGCCACTTTTAAACATCCTGTTTTCTATTAATCCTTGTGCGCGTATATTATCACAGTTGATTGTAGCAAGTCTTAAACACGGTCATCTTTCTAAGCACTTCTGTTGTCCTTTCCAAACTTGTTCTTTGCCGATTGACAATAAACACTATTCTTAACCAGTCCCATGATTCATTGCTGATCTTGTTCTGTGTGCTTCATCCTAAGCATTTTTTTACGACCCTTTTCTCCTCTCAGATTCATAGTCGCTTTCTTCACACATTTCAAACAAGAAATACTATGGATGTACTACGAGATGTGAAAATGAGTGTCGAGTCACTAATACTTAGCTATATCGACTTCATAAACGCCATAAATACACTTCGAAGTTCAAGCATTCGCAGTGTCCTTGTCAGACCAGAAGAATCAAAGGTCGTTGCGGAAAAGACGGTGGACCTTGACAAAGTGACTGAGGTGCTGAGAGATTTCGCTAAGCAGCACCCAGCGGAACCTCTCAACAGCTCAGATGTGGATGCAGTACTCCAACAAGTTGTACTCTTTGAGTTGGAGTCTCACTTAAGGTTTAACTACTGGGGAAACAAATTTCCAACTACCCTAGTTATTTCGACACCCGAAATGTGACGCAGGTGAATGTTGTGAAACTGCTGCTTTCCGCGATTCTTCCTCTTCTGCCTTTGCTATTTTCTTGCAAAGTCCTCAGTATGTATCAAGAAAAAAAAAGTTGAAAAACATTGCAAATGTGGTTTCTGAAGCAACTGGCACTTGGGTTTCACATTTTTCCCTCCACTCGAAATCCATTTCAAAGTTTTACGAAGACATGTATGTCCAGGAGCCTTCTGTGAAAGCTGTTAAAAGAAAAAAACAATTATTTAATTAAAGATTTCTTTAATGAATGATGTCGTTAGAAGCACAGAATTAGACTTAAGTTGACTACTCACTGCCGTAGCGTTTTTATAATCTTAACAATTAGCCACAAATGTTTACCCATGCAGCTTTTCAGCTGAATGCGAGGCAATTTAAATATCTACTAAATAATTGGAATACTCCTCATTTTGAATTGTAAAACAATTCTTTTCAACGGCTGGAACAATATTATAGTGAAGGCTCATTTTAGTAAACGAAAGGAAACGATTTGTTAGGTGCAGTTTCGACTAGTGTGCTGATCAATGCTAGCTGAAAATATGCTGGAGTGGTACATAAAAGCAAAGTTACTTGATGAAAAAAAATGCAGCAGATTAATAGTCAAAAACAACTCTACAAAATGAAACTACAGAAAAGAGACGGCTTCAAACACAGCAAACTTATCATATGCACACTATATAACGGCCGCAAGAAAATAAGTTAGTACTGCTGGGGAACTGAAGATAAAATGCAGTTATGAAACATAACAAAACAAATTAGGCAACAAAATCACGCGCAATCAAGCAAGAAGAAGGCAAAAAAATTACATGGATGTCTTCAGATTCGACCGCAGCTTCCATAGGCGTTAATGGACTTTGCACATCGCCATCAGCTAGTTTTTTAGTCACTGGGGCAAAACTGCTTGCTGCCTCTGCCAAAAATTTATTTTCTTCTGTAATACTCGATGCCTCCATAACACCGCTCTGCACATTTTGAAACTGTCCGGTTTGCTCTTCGTCCACTGCTGCTCCAAATCTCGATGGGCTCATATCAAGTCCAGATTCCTTGTCTTCAAGTTTAGACTCTCTCTTTTGAGCTGTAACTTCATGTACCTCTTTCTGTGATGTTTCAACCTGCTTTGTAATATTTTCTTCTTGAATGTCACCAGCACCGATCTGTTCTTCTCTTCGCCGAAATATATCATCCTCCTGTACTTCATTATGACCAACCAAAGATTGTTCTCCCTGTCGAACAGAAATTGAACCGGATGACGAGTCGCCATCAGCTTCTGCTTGCGAATGTTGCAATTCTGTAATGCCTATACTTTCCATATGTGGTCCAATGCTTTCCTTTTCAACCTCTTCCTGTGTTAGACTCGTGTCAATCCTCTGTCCTTTGTTTCCGGAACGTTCATCATTATCACAAACGCCGTCCATCATTTTAGCAACTGAATAATCCCCAGTAAAAACAGTCGTGTCGCCGTCGCAAAACTGATTTGGGCCATTCCCAAGTTTACTTTTACTAACAGTCTCAAGAGGATCATTTACAACATCTAAACCTTCCTCCCTGTGTTCTTCAAGTTTTTTTTTAACTTGTTCTTCCTGCAGCTTATTAGCGCATCCCTCCTCTTCAATTCCCAAAACACTTTCAGGCATTTGCTCTTTCTGTACAGCCCCCATTTCTATATACTTCACACCAGCAATAGCCGAACCAAGTGCCTCTCCGTCACCGGGACTAAAACTGGATGCTGTGTCATCAGTAGGTTCGTTCCATGCTTCTATACTTTCTGCAGTTTCATGCACTTCGTTTTCTTCTCTACCTGCAGTGCCCGTTTCTTCCTCCACCACAGTCCCAGGATTTTCCTCAGCAACACCAATCGAATCCTGTTCACTAATGTTGCGGGTCATGAAATTGGATGCTGACTTATTAACAAGTTCCTTCTGCGTTTCTGTACTTTTTGCAATTTCCGGCGACTCACTTTCTTCCGACACTTCTTTTTTTTCTGTGTCTACAGTAGCCATCTCTCCTTTCACTTTGGTTCTTGCATATTCCTTATCAGCATCAGTCAAATCGAATCCCCCTACGAAAGGGGAGCCAAAACTGGCTGCTGAGTCGTCAGTAGGTTCCTTCTGTGCCTCTGTACTTTCTGCAGTTCCTCGCACCTCACTTGCTTCTAAAACTTGTTTCTCTTCTGCGCCTGCACTACCTGTTTCCCTTATCATTTCTTTTGTTAAAGGTTCCTCAGTAGCACTAGCCGGATCCTGCTGATCAGCGTCAGAAGAGATGAAATCAAATGATGAGTCATCAATGAGTCTTTTCTGTGCGTCTGTACTTTCTGCAGTTTTTTGCACGCCGTTTCCTTCTGTACCTGCAGTGCCAGTTTCTCCTTTCACCACAGTTCCAGAATTCTCATCATCAACACCAGTCCAATCCTGTTCATTATCCTTAACGGAAATAAAATTGAATGTTGAATTGTCAGCAGATTCCTTTTGCGCTTCTGTACTTAATGCAGATCCTTGCACTTCCCTTTCTTCTAAAACCTTTTCCTTTTCTGTGCCTGCATCCGTTTCTATTATCACCTCAGATGTTGAATGTTCCACAACAGCACTAGCTAAACTGTGTTGATCAGCTTCAGAAGAGACAGAAGTGAATGCTAAGTCATTATCAGGCACCTCCTGCGCCCCAATAACTACCGCACTTTCTGTCTCTTCATTCTGTTTGAAAGCCCTTTTTTCTGCTGAATCTGCAGTGTCCGTCTCTCTTTCCAGTTCGATTCCTGAATGTTCCTCAGAAGCAGCCGAAAGCTGTTCATCAGCACCAGAGGAGACCGCTGAATTGCCATCAGGTTCCGGTCGTACTATCTCCTGTAACTGAATATTTCCTTTAGTTTTCGCCTGAAGCTTTTCACTATCTTGTGACAGCTGATTTCCTTCTGGAGCAGTTTCGTCAGTTTTTTCTCGCTGCAGAACTTCACTTTTCTGGACCGCTCTTCCCCCTCGCTTTTTAGAATGTTGCTTGGAAGCTTGAGATGAAGCAAGTGCACCTGATTGAAAGGGGCATGAATTAAATAGTAATTCGTCTGCAGCCTGTGGCTGCAACAACTCCTGCAATTCATTACCAGCGACGTTTTCGTTACTTAGTCTTCGTCTCTCCTTCCCCTGCAAATTCTCTTGACAAGCTGTGCTGCTACTACTATCCACTACTTGAGAACCGTCACTATTCTCCTTAAAATTTTGTTCCACCTCAGTTTCGGGATGGATTTTGAAAACAGCAGAAGAATCCTGCCCTTCTGGGTGAACGAGAGTTATAGCAGATTCAGAATCTTGCGTAGCCCCCAACCGCAAATCACTGTGTGAATCAGCAGATTTTTTGACACATTGATCTACAACATCGTAGGTCGTTTGGTGTTCCTTGGGAACAGAAGAAGTTTGCACGGGATCTGCGGCTTCACGGTCAAATGTTGGTCGTTCATCAGATTTCTTTCGTCTTCGGCCCCGTTCCTCCTCCTTGTGTGGTTGCAATTTAGTTCCGTTTATTTCGTCGTTTCCTTCACAGCCGTGAATTTTCTGTTGCATTTCGCTAGTTTCGCTTTGATGCTCTGGAGATTGTAGTAACTTCCGTTTTTTCCTCTTGTCTTCTCCGCCAGAGAAGTTTAGTATATCAGAACTTTCTTCGGCGCTTTTGTTTTCTTCGCTTATTCTGCTCTGCTCTAACTGAAGTGATGCTGTAGTTCTGAACTTTTTGAAGAGAAAATTCAGTGGAAAGATAAAACTCCCACGTTTCAAGATACTTGTGGCCACGATAGCGAGAAATTGCCGTGAAACATATATGCAGTTCAAATGAACCAGAGTGCATTTTTATCGTGCAGGTGTACCAGCATGCAAACAACAAATCTTTCTTACATAATACATATGTTTCGTAATTATTCTACTTTTCCTTTTGAATTCTAAACTGTAATTTTTAGCTTGCACCTATCTTAACAGTCACATTTTAAGGATAAAAAGTGCTTTAAATATACCTTAAAATGTCCTCGAGATATATTTGTATCAGTCAAGTGTTCTTGATCGTTACTCGACAATTTTCCGTGAAGGGAACCTTCGATCTCCTAAACATTTGCTTACACCTTAAAATTTTTCTTCCATAATGGGTTATTGAAAAGAGAAATTCAGTGCCTAAAGGAGAACGCTGCAGAAAAAAATTGTCAGCAAACAACTCTAGATAATGTCTGCATTTTCACTCCTGCAATAGTTGGCAAGTACGGAAGCCTTATTAAACTTTAGTTATACTTTTCTTAAATACAAATACCACTTGGCAGTGTAAGTTTTCAGATACAGAAAAAAACTAACCGTAAGTTGCGTCAAAAAACTGACCTCCTTTGCCGTTAGAGCTTCACTGGTGGATGTCCTCATGGATTTACTCGAATCAACCCTGCTTTCAGTATCTTCTAAATTTTTTTCAACTACTTCAGCAGAACGGAGATTCCTACTTGAACCTTCCTGAAATCTTATTTTTCATCCTTCAAAACTATACTGGCCCTTGGGTGCTTTCTGTATAACCCTTAGCCTGACCAACTACGACAGTTTATAAATAGTACAAACCCGATCATATGAAATCCGGCTTCTACAAAATCCAAAAATTTTGCATTCGATTTTGAGGAAAAAGCCGCTGTATCGGCAAAGAACACTGAATGAAACTTTAACAGTGAACTGAATTATTAACAAAAAAACATTTCCGCCTCCGGACCAGTATTGTGAAAATTCGATCCTCCATATGAATTTTCAAAACAGTTATTTCATAGAATCAATTTTTTACTGTCGTTGTAAATTC